TGTACTTGACTGCACTGTCAAACCTGCCTTGGGCTGACCAGAAGCAAGATAAGTTTGTTTGTGTTTTGTTTGCTTCTTGGTATGTGGTTCTTGCATTTGATAACAGAAGGCTGGAGAAGCAACATCTGCTTCTGAGAGGCAGAGGGCTTGGATAGCTTCAGGGAGGGGCCTAAGAGCCTAATAGATTTAAGCTTTTTAGTGATGAAAGAAATGACTCACTGGATGAGATCCTGCCTTCAAAGGGCAAATACTTTATTTTTGCCTGTGGCTCTGCAGACAGACCCGACAAATGAAACAGGAGTACCACTGGAGAGTTATGCCATGGTCACAGTCTTCACAAATGAGTCAGACACATGTATGACTGTTCACAGGGCACATCATGCGAAAAGGACTCCAGAATAGGACTTATAGCTCCTCACAATGCATACTGGTATCTCACCATAGCCACCTGGTAGTCTGCACTCTCATCCCCTAGGAGCCTGAGGAATAGACTTTGTGGGCTAAGGAATTCATTCTCCTGCCGTCTCTATCTTTAGCTGTGGAATGGATTGTTCTCATCTCCTTTCCCTTGACCAAAGCTACTGACACCACCAGGCTATTAGGAGTGGGGTGCTGTTCAAAGTATCTAGAGCCCAGAGAAGGGACTGGGTACATCCTAGCCACCTTCTTGAGACTGCAGGCAAAGATGCTGGAGTAAGCCAAAAATCCATGGCTGGATCTAAAACCACAGCTGAGAAAGCCAGCTTGTCAGAGCAAAATGGGAGAATGTCAACAGTGGCTCCAGAGCTTTACAGCTCTGGTTGATATTGGCAGCTGTAACAGCAGTGATCTTTCTCAGCAACACTTGACACTGATATCTGGAAAGTGACACAACTGAGGATCCAGTGTTGTGATCTGGGGAGGTGGCACCAGTGACATCCCCCTTCAGAAAGTTTAAAAAAAATATTATATATCTTTCAGCATTACCTCTTACAAGACATCCAGGTCATCAATACCATTGGCCAGAGAAGGCACCAGGGAGCTGGAAGAGGAGGATAAGGCTGTGATGCTGGGTCCACTTGTATTGGTGACATGAGATCAGGCCCTAGTACTGAAACAGGGGCTGTGCTGATGGGACACTCCCCAAAGCCCTAGAGCTGGGGAAAAAGACAAGCTGGGGTCACCCTGCCACTAGGTCCAGCCAACTCTGAAAGTTTGTATTTAGTCCCAAATATAGTTCCATAGTTAGAAGTTGTAAAGGACTCTGTGTAAGTCTATGAGTTGGACTCCTTAGGGAGTCAGATGGCTGTGTGTCCTCGTGCCAGGCAGCACAGAAGATCCGCCAAACTCCAGATCATCAATGGTCCAGAATTGGGAGTCCCAGAGAGGAGGGCTAGGTGACTACTCCAGGCTCAATGATGAGATGTATGAGTGAAGTAAATATCTAAGCAGGAAGATGGTGCCAAAGCATGAAGAACCCAAACAGGGCTCCTGCGGCAGGGAAGTCCAGCAGAAATGCTGCTGTTTCTTTTTAGGACACACTTCACTGCTGGACAAACATTTCCTTTTCTCCTCCTCAGAATTAGTGCAGTCATCAGTGCTGAGGCTGGAGCCCCATGGAGGAAGGCCTGAGGCAGAGCCAGGAGTGTTCTGCTGTACAAGCTGAGCCAAGGGTTTTGGTGCTTTAAGGGGCCTACCAGAAGCTAGTGCCAGCTTAGAGGATCATTGGAGCTGCCTTTGTGGCAGAAGTCAGTGCCAAAGGCACTGTTTTGTGTTGAATCTTGATTGTACCACGTGGAGCAGACTCCAAGGTAACTGACCCAGCACTCAAGTCCCTAGTGAAAGCTGGTGCTGAAGCTGTGGCCAGAGTAAACAACTTTGCCCATACAGCTGGTGTGGGCAGCGATGCAGGTACAGGTCAGTCTGGGCGGTGCACAGAAACACAGCCTTCTAGTAACTCAAGAGCCTTTAGGGCCACTTCCATAAGGTGCAGCTGGGGCTGCAGTTGGCAGTCCTGGAAAGCCTACGGTGTGAATGCCTTGCAGGCAACATACTGGGTCAAAGAGGGGGAAATCCCCCAAACAGATCAAAAACCTCACTTGGGCATCTGATTCTGGAATCATCATCAACATGGGCACAGCTTTTCAACCCCTTGCAGGTTTCAATCTGAGCACAGCTTCAGCACTGGAGGGAATTTTGAGAACTCAACTAGGAGTGAACCTAACAGGTAATGATCAAGTGATCTCTCTCTCTCCTGCCATCCATCTCCACCCTCTGACAAACAGAGGCTAGGGACACCATTCCTTACCCATCCTAGCTAATAGTCATTAATGGACTTAACCTCCATGAATTTATCTAGTTCTCTTTTAAACCCTGTTATAGTCCTAGACTTCACAACCTCCTCAGGCAAGGAGTTCCACAAGTTGACTGTGTGCTGTGTGAAGAAGAACTTCCTTTTATTTGTTTTAAACCTGCTGCCCATTAATTTCATTTGGTGGCCCCTAGTTCTTATATTATGGGAACAGGTAAATAACTTTTCCTTATTCACTTTCTTCACATCACTCATGATTTTATATATCTCTATCATATCCCCCCTTAGTCTCCTCTTTTCCAAGCTGAAAAGTCCTAGCCTCTTTAATCTCTCCTCATATGGGACCCTTTCCAAACCCCTAATCATTTTAGTTGCCCTTCTCTGAACCTTTTCTAATGCCAGTATATCTTTTTTGAGATGAGGAGACCACATCTGTATGCAGTATTCAAGATGTGGGCGTACCATCGATTTATATAAGGGCAAGAAGATATTCTCCGTCTTATTCTCTATCCCCTTTTTAATGATTCCTAACATCCTGTTTGCTTTTTTGACTGCCACTGCACACTGCGTGGACGTCTTCAGAGAGCTATCCACGATGACTCCAAGAACTTTTTCCTGATTAGTTGTAGCTAAATTAGCCCCCGTCATATTGTATGTATAGTTGGGGTTATTTTTTCCAATGTGCATTACTTTACATTTATCCACATTAAATTTCATTCCAAATCACTTAGTTTTGTAAGATCTTTTTGAAGTTCTTCACAGTCTGCTTTGGTCTTAACTATCTTGAGCAGTTTAGTATCATCTGCAAACTTTGCCACCTCACTTTTTACCCCTTTCTCCAGATCATTTATGAATAAGTTGAATAGGATTGGTCCTAGGACTGACCCTTGGGGAACACCACTAGTTACCCCTCTCCATTCTGAAAATTTACCATTTATTCCTACCCTTTGTTCCCTGTCCTTTAACCAGTTCTCAATCCATGAAAGGATCTTCCCTCTTATCCCATGACAACTTTATTTACGTAAGAGCCTTTGGTGAGGAACCTTGTCAAAGGCTTTCTGGAAATCTAGGTACACTATTTCCATTAGATCCCCCTTGTCCACATGTTTGTTGACCCCTTCAAAGAACTCTAATAGATTAACAACAAGGAGTCTGGTGGCACCTTAAAGACTAACAGATTTATTTGGGCATAAGCTTTCGTGGGTAAAAACCTCACTTCTTCGCTATGCATCCGAAGAAGTGAGGTTTTTACCCACGAAAGCTTATGCCCAAATAAATCTGTTAGTCTTTAAGGTGCCACCAGACTCCTTGTTGTTTTTGTACATACAGACTAACACGGCTACCCCCTGATACTTGACACCATGCAAGGCTCTAATAGATTAGTAAGACATGATTTCCCTTTACCGAAACCATGTTGACTTTTACTCAACAATTTATGTTCTTCTATGTGTCTGACAATTTTATTCTTTACGATTGTTTCAACTAATTTGCCCGGTACTGACGTTAGACTTACCGGTCTGTAATTGCCGGGATCACCTCTAGAGCCCTTTTTAAATATTGGCATTACATTAGCTATCTTCCAGTCATTGGGTACAGATGCCGATTTAAAGGACAGGTTACAAACCATAGTTAGTAGTTCCGCAATTTCACATAAGAGTTCTTTCAGAACTCTTGGGTGAATACCATCTGGTCCCAGTGACTCGTTACTGCTAAGTTTATCAATTAATTCCAAAACCTCCTCTAGTGACACCTCAATCTGTGACAATTCCTCAAATTTGTCACCTACAAAAGCCAGCTCAGGTTTGGGAATCTCCCTAACATCCTCAGCCGTGAAGGCTGAAGCAAAGAATTCATTTAGTTTCTCCGCAATGACTTCATCGTCTTTAAGTGCTCCTTTTGTATTGCGATTGTCCAGGGGCCCCACTGGTTGTTTAGCAGGCTGCCTGCTTCTGATGTACTTAAAAAACAATTTGTTATTACCTTTTGAGTTTTTGGCTAGCTGTTCCTCAAACTCCTTTTTGGCTTTTCTTATTATATTTTTACACTTAATTTGGCAGTGTTTATGCAGTGTTCTATTTACCTCACTAGGATTTGACTTCCACTTTTTAAAAGATGCCTTTTTATCTCCCACTGGTTCTTTTACATAGTTGTTAAGCCATGGTGGCTCTCTTTTAGTTCTTTACTGTGTTTTTTTAATTTGAGCTATACATTTAAGTTGGGCCTCTATTATGGTGTCTTTGAAAAGTGTCCAAGCAGCTTGCAGGGATTTCACTCTAGTCACTGTACCTTTTAATTTCTGTTTAACTAACCCCCTCATTTTTGCATAAGTCCTCTCAGAGCCCTATACACTCAAGAGAAGTTTCAGCCTAGCACTTTCCAAGGCACCAGAGGCAGGCAGGGTTGGATGTGACAATCAAATGTGTCATTGCTTATGCTCTCCAATATTATCATATGTAGTCTTGTTGCCACCAGGGCAAATAAGCTTCCTGCTGCCCCATCATCCCAGTCACTTAGAATGAGATATTTTCCAAACCACTTTCGATTTTGGGTGCTCAATCCCCAATAAATTTTAAATGAGAATTTGGCATCCAAGTCCTTTGAGTGACTTTGAAAATCTCAGCCTTAATAGTCAAATGGATCAGATTTTCCTGAACTGGATTGCAGTGACTGTCTTTGGGGATAATTCACACCTACAAATGTCTTTTTTTACCTGGGTAGGTCTACGATGCAGGTCTGCAAAAACCAGAGAAACGTCCATGGAACGATCTTTCTTCAAGGGCAGTGGAAGAGTTAAATAGCAGAAAGGGTCAAAAGTCACAGAAACTTTAGAGCATTTTGGACAGACCAGGGTGGATTTGAAAAGGCCATGAAAAATATCCACGATGATAGAGTCATTTCTTAATCTATGGTTCTCCCAGGCTTCTTTCGCCACCACCTGTAGAAAGGAAATAAAATTAATTCTGACTCATACACTTCACTAGAACTGTAAATACAGAGACAAGAGACAAAAGGAACTCAGCATAATTCTGATATTTTAAAAAAATATATATGCACACCTAAGCAAGCTGGAAATACTATTAAGGTTTCCTGAACTCAGCCCCTCTTAACCACCTACCATTCTCTCTCACTAACCAGGCCCCAGGTCTGCAAGTCTTTCCTGCTGCAGAAGGAAATAGCGGACACCTAATTCTACCACTCTGTGTTAGGTCAGGCCTGTATTGCTACAGATTTCCTCAGTGTAGGAGGTGAGGGTTGGAGAGAGAGGGGGCAGTGGAAGGAGCAAGTTGCTTGAAGTCTATGGGCCTGATCCAAAGGCCATTGCAATCAATCGGAGTCTTCCCATTGACATTAAGGACTTTGGATCAGGCCCCATGTACTGGATGCAGCTAAAGTTCATCTCTAGGCTGTATGTGTAAAGTATGACATAGAATGGATTTCCTACCCATAGTGGGGTATGCAAGGCTTCATGTAGTCCTTACCCATGGAAGGTCATTTGCTTTCTGTCCTGACCCAGAAGGGACAGGTTGTGGTCTCCAGCTTGCAAAAGCTCTCAGCTTATAAATGTTATGCAGAGTTTTCTCTGGAAGAGTAGAAAACTGTGGCCCAGAGCCTGAAGTTAGAAGATGATGATTCATAGACCAGGCAAGAAGGGACCACTATGATCATCTAGTCTGACCTCCCATGTAACAAAGGCCATAGACTTCCCTGAATGAATTCCTGTTTGAATGGGAGCATAATCTTTTAGAAAAAATCCAATCTTGGTTTAAAATTTTCCAGTGATGGAGAACCCACCTCAACGTTTGGTAAACTGTTCCAATGGTTAATTATTTTCAATATTAAAAACATATGCCTTATTTCTAATCTGAAATTATCACACTTCAGCTTCCAGCCATTGGACCTTGCATAAGCCTTGTATTATCAAATGCGTTTCCCATGTAGGTACTGTAACCCATTAACTGTCTATTTGTTAAACTACACAGATTGAGCTCCTCAAGCATCACTATAAAACACATTTTTCTAATCCTTTAATCCAGAGGTTCTCAAACTGTGGTCTGCAGACCACTGGTGGTCCACCAGCGCCATTCAGATGGTCCGCGGATAGTTCCCTATAAGGTGCGTGCCTGGGCGGTCACACACAAGAGAATGAAGGGCCACCCACCTAATTAGTGGAGCTGCACAGGCGTGGTTCCACTAATTAGGTGCCTGGACCCTGGAGGAGACGCACATGTAAGATGAGATAGTGGCCTTCGGGGGAACAGGAGGTAGGTGAGAGGGGGAAGTGGGGTGAGAAGTGGGAGTGGGGGGGAATTTGGGACATGCAGGGCTGTGGCAGCCAGAGAAAGACACGACTTTCCCCAGCTCCAGGGCTGCGGCTGCCAGGGAGAGATGGCCCTCCTTCCCAGCCTCAGCTCTGAGGCTGCTGTGGCCAGGGAGAGACCCCCCCCATCCTTCCCAGCCCAGCTCAGGGACTGCCGCAGCAGGGGAGAGAGGGCACATCCATCGCATTAGAAAGGTAAGACTACTAATATTAAAATATGAGTTGTGTGCTTTTATTTGAAGAACAAAAAAAATCAATTATTAAGGGATTTTTTTATATAGCGCTTTTATCCAAAGCGCTTTACAATAGTTAGCTAATGGTACAAACAATATTTGGAAAGATCATCAAGTGATCCACTGAGACCCTCAGCAATTTTCAAGTGGTACATGAAAAAAAAAAAAAAAAAAAGTTTGAGAACCACTGCTTTAATCACTATCATGGCTCTTTCTCTGAATCCTCTCCAATTTATCAACATCCTTCCTGAAATGTGGACACCAGAACTGGACATGATATTTCCAGTAGTAGTTGCAAGAGTGCCAAATACAGAGGTAATATAATCTCTCTACTCCTACTCAATATTCCCATTTATGCATCCAAGAATTGCATTAGTCTTTTTGGCCACAGCTTTGCACTGGGTGCTCACGTTCACAGCTGATTATTTACCATGATTCTTAAGTCTTTTTCCAGTCACTACTTCCCAAGATAAAGTCCCTCATCCTTTAAATATGGCCTGAATTCTTGGTTTCCTGATGTATGACTTAATATGTGGCTGTATTAAAATACATATTGTTTGTTTTCACCCAGATTACCAAGAAATCCAGAACGCTCTGTATGATTAACCTGTCCTCTTCATCATTTAACAATCTTTGTGTCATCTGCAAACTTGATCAGTGATGATTTTAGGTTCTCTTCCAGGGCACTGATAAAAATGTTAAATAGCAGTGAGCCAAGAACCCCTCCCTGCAGGACTCCACTAGAAACACACCCGCTCCATGCTGATTCCCCATTTAGTTACATTTTGAGACCCAGCAATTAGCCAGTTTTTAATGCATTTCATGCGTGTCATGTTAATTTTGTACAGCTCTAGTTTCTTAATCAAATGTCATGTGGTACCAAGTAAAATGCTTTAAAGAAGTCAAAGTATATTACATTAACACTATTACCTTCATCAATCAAACTTGTAACCTCATTAAAAAAAAAAAAAATATCAAGTTAGTTTGACAAGATCTGTTTTCCCTAAACCCATGATGATTGGCAATTATAGCACCCTCCTTTAACTCTTTATTAATTGAGTTCCCATATCAGCTATTACATTATCTTGCCCAGAATCGGCATCAGACTGATGGGTCTATAATTACTTTGCTCATCCGATTTATTCTTTTTATATATTAAACACTTTAGCTTTCCTCCCCAGTATTCCAAGACACATTAAAAATCAACATTAATGGTCCAGAGAGCTCCTCTGTCAGTTCTTTTAAAACTCTTTGTTGCAAGTTATTTGAACCTGCCAATTTAAAAAATGTCTAGTTTTAGCAGCTGCTATTAAATATCTTCCTTAGATACTCTTGGAATAGAAAGTATTTTATCAATCATCATTATCCTATGATACATCTACATCACTTGGCTTTTCCCCCAGTGAAGGGTAAGGAGGCTGAACTAAAGGACATCTGCAGGCAGTAATCATAGAGCTATCTGAACTGGCTTTCTGGAAATTCTTGTCCGAGTTTGAGGATTTCTATTTGCTTGAGCCTGTGGATTGGAAGCTCTTCTTGGTTTGGCACACTTTACCTATGGTACAGTACCATATGCACTATAACTAGGTTGCTGAGATGAGATCAGAGTTATAGCCAACAGCAGGACTCAGGACTATGAAGGAAAGATACGGCATAAGTGCTCAGAGCGTCTCCTTAAGTTAGAGAAAAATGGAAGGGCTTGGATAAAAGGCAACGGTAGGCTGGGTCCAAGGCCCCCTCTCCTTAACAGGATTCTAGGCAATTCCTTACATACACAACAAACAGATGTAGGTGGTATCTTGGAGAAAGGGTAAATTATGCCATCATTTGTGTTGCCACAATCACATTCACTGCACATAGAACACAAAAACGTAATTTATTAAATTCTGTGCTCCAACCCCACACGTGGAATGACAGTCAAGTGATAAATTGCAGTGATATGGAATAATGCAGTTTACCATTCACGTTTGAGTTTATTAGCTGCATTCTGCGTACTAATCTCCCTCTATTGAGACTTCTAGCATTCCAAGTGTCAGAGCAAAGCTGGGGATATAGCAAGACCACTGCAATCCCAAGGTGCAAACAATAACTTAAGCGCATTTACAGCTTTAACTATCGTCTTCCTGGCTTTGGATAGCAGTTTAATACAGACTATTCATGCTATTTAAATGTAGCTCAGAGCTTCCAGTTGAGCATAGGGTATAATTTTATCTAAGCACTGTACCAAATCAGGCCTGCCATTGGCATTCTTGAGCTCCAAGTAGGGTTTCTTCTTCACTCGGTTCAGATCCTCGTGCAAGCCATCCAGGAGGAATGCCAAGAGCTCCTGAGAATCTTGCTGCTGGTACCCTGAGAACTGAGGGGCAAAACGGCCGACCTGGGTCTAAAATTAAAACAGAACGGGACAATCTGGTCAGAGCAGCGTCATGCATGTATCTGTAAAAATGAAATAAAGAAAATCATATCCTGACTTCTGCAGAATTCTGCAGCAAGAAGCTGCTGTAGTTTAGTGCTAACTACAATGAAGCTGAAGACAACATAACAAGGATGTCAGTACAGATTTCCTGGCCTATTTTAAAGCCTTTCAATCAAGGGCATTTTTAAAGACCAGGATGGTGGGAATCTGGACTGCCTGATACTAAGCTCTGGGTCAAGAAATACTAACTACCAGCACCTGGAGTGTTGTACAAGTTTCAGTTGTGCTCTTTTAGGAACATAATTGCTACAGTGGATCAGACCAGTGTCCATCTAGTCCAAGATCCTCTTACATCAGCCAGATACTTCAGAGAAAAATCCAAGAATCCCTGTAGCGGATATTTATGGAACAACATGTCCATAAGGAAAATGTCTCTCTAACTCATCAGTTAGAGCAGCGTTTCCCAAAGGGTGGCAGGCGCCCTTCCTCCCACATGACATGAAGGATTAGCTGGGTTGTGCGGCACAGACAGGCCTCAATTGTTATCCAGTCTCAGCTGTCACTAAAAATTATTAAGAGTAAAATTCTGGCCCCATTGAAGTCAGTGGCACAACTCCCAATGACTTCAATGGAGCCAGGATTCTACTCTAAGTCTTTAGCTGTTCTAATTTCAAACAAACTTTGAAAACTGACTAGAGTATAACCAAATGTAACAACAGCCTAAACTTGCGCAGACCTTGAAACAATCGCTCTGAGATGTGAACTGCTCCATTCAATACACTGGGTGCTACCTCATAATGTAAAGGCAATACTTCGATTGTCACCTACCGAAACATAAGAAAGGATCACAGTATGAAGATCCACAATTACTCTGAAAGTGTGATCATTCTGGTACCATCAGCAGGTGATCCCACTGATTTTTTTCACAAACTAGAAGGAGCCAAGCATGAGGTGGCCAGCAGGGGATCAGAGCCCCACTTATGGGAAAACAAACCAGAGGGCTCCAGCAGCACTCATGAGGGAGAGAAATTTTCTTAGAGAACAAGTTAATGTTGCCATTTAACAGTGACTGACTCATGGTTGTTACTGCTAAGTAACACTGAAAAGTGATGTTCTATTTCAAATTTATGATACACCTCTACCCCAATATAACACGAATTCGGATATAACGCGGTAAAGCAGTGCTCCAGGGGGCAGGGCTGTGCACTCCGGTGGATCAAAGCAAGTGCAATATAACGCGGTTTCACCTATAACGCGGTAAGATTTTTTGGCTCCCGAGGACAGCGTTATATCGAGGTAGAGGTGTAGTTATAAAAAAGCCTAAATATCCACTATTGAATCCACATCACTGCTTAACGTAAAAATTTAACACTTTCAAAAACTAAATACACAAAGACTTCATTTGGGGACAGTTAAGGTTGCTTCAGGATATGTCTCACACCAAGCCAAAATCTTAGAAGTTAAGGGAAAAGTTTCCTGCATTCCTTGCCACTTTCACATCACCCACAACACTGTCAATAACAGACTCCACCATTCCATAAGGCTTACATTTCCACCTTCAACAGCAACACACCAAAAAAGCAACTCACCCCAAATTCAAGCTCATACTCTAAGGCCCGGTCTACACTAACCCCCCAATTCTAACTAAGGTACGCAACTTCAGCTACATGAATAACGTAGCTGAAGTCGAAGTACCTTAGTTCGAACTTACCGCGGTCCAGACGCGGCAGGCAGGCTCCCCCGTCGACTCCGCGTACTCCTCGCACCGAGCAGGATTACCGGAGTCGACGGCGAGCACTTCTGGGTTCGATTTATCGCGTCCAGACAAGACGCGATAAATCGAACCCAGAAGTTCGATTGCCTGCCGCCGAACCAGCGCGTAAGTATAGACAAGCCCTAAGGCAAAGCCTTTACCGCAACTTCTGACATTCTTATTTCAACAGATTGGCTTAGCTGAAAGTGACACATTCCATACATTTGAGAAATTATTCTACCTTAATATTGTTCAGGTTGTTTGGGTGCCTTAAGTGTGTTTCCCTACTTTGACATCTGTGGATTTATTTTTATGCTCAACCTTAACTGGGTTTATAATGCTTGTTTCTGAGGTAACTGCAACATTCTTCTAATGTTTGCAGTTTTGGTGGAGCAGTGTTGGTCCCAGGATATGAGACAGACAAGGAGGGTGAGGTAATATATTTTATTATCCCTCTATTCCACACTGGTGAGGTCACATCTGGAGTACTGCATCCAGTTCTGGGCACCCCACTACAGAAAGGATGTGGACAAATTGGAGAGAGTCCAGAGGAGGGCAATGAAAATTATCAGGGGGCTGGAGCACATGACTTACAAGGAGAGGCTGAGGGAACAGGGCTTGTTTAGTCTGCAGAAGAGAAGAATGAGGGGGGATTTGATAGCAGCCTTCAACTACTTGAAGGGGGGTTCCAAAGAGGATGGAGCTCGGTTGTTCTCAGTGGTGGCAGATGACAGAACAAGGAGCAATGGTCTCAAGTTGTAGTGGGGGAGGACTAGGTTGGATATTAGGAAACACTATTGTAACAGGTTCAGTCACAGAGACCCCCTTGGGACTGTCACCTGATGCACTAAAATTACCTGGGATGATTTAGTTGGGAGTTTAGTTTAGTTGGGAATTGGTCCTGCTTTGAGCAGGGGGTTGGACTAGACGACCTCCTGAGGTCCCTTCCAACCCTGATATTCTATGATTCTACCTCTGAGCCTGTTTTCCCTGCCAGCTTGGGACTCCAGAACCCTGCCTTGTTGAGCCAGACACGCTAGCCTGCTGCAACAGAGACCCAGGTCTGGTCCACGCCCCCAAAGCGGCAGACTTTAACCAAAAACTGCTCAGCAGGTTTCCTATCTCCAGCACCCAGACACCCAGCTCCCAATGGGATCCAAACCCCAAATAAATCTGTTTTACTCTGTATAAAGCTTATACAGGGTAAACTCATAAATTGTCCGCCCTCTATAACACTGATAGAGAGATATGCACAGCTGTTTGCTCCCCCAGGTATTAATCACTTACTCTGGGTTAATTAATAAACAAAAGTGATTTTATTAAGTATAAAAAGTAGGATTTAAGTGGCTCCAAGTAATAACAGACAGAACAAAGTAAGTTACCAAGCAAAATAAAACAAAACACGCAAGTCTAAGCCTAATACATTAAGAAACTGAATACAGGTAAATCTCACCCTCAGAGATGTTCCAATAAGCTTCTTTCACAGACTAGACTCCTTCCTAGTCTGGGCCCAATCCTTTCCCCGGTACAGTCCTTTTTAGTTCCAGCTCAGGTGGTAACTAGGGGATTTCTCATGACTGGCAGCCCCCTTTCCTTTGTTCTCTTTCACCCCCTTTTATAGCTTTGGCACAAGGCAGGAATCCCCACCCCTCCTTCTAAATGGAAAAGCACCAGGTTTAAGATGGATTCCAATATCCTGTGACATGGTCACATGTCCTGTGAGACCTCATTCTTCATTCTTCCAGGGCTGGCCTGCAGGTACCCAGGGAGGTTTGCAAGTAAACAGACCTATTTACAACCAATTGTCATAGTCAATGGAGGGAGGGATAGCTCAGTGGTTTGAGCATTGGCCTGCTAAACCCAGGGTTGTGAGTTCAATCCTTGAGGGGGCCATTTGGGGATTTAGTTGGGAATTGATCCTGCTTTGAGCAGGGGGTTGGACTAGATGATCTCCTGAGGTCCCTTCCAACCCTAATAATCTATGATTCTATGAAGCCATCAAGACTCCAAGCCACCATTAATGGCCTACACTTCGCATAATTACTATAGGACTTCAGAGTAATAGTTCATATTTCTAGCTTCAGATACAAGAATGATACATTCATAGAAATAGGTTGAACACACTCAGTAGATTATAAACTTTGTAATGTTACCCTACAAGAGACCTTTTGCATAAAGCATATTCCAGTTACATTATATTCACACTCAAACATATTTACATAAACATATGGCGTGCAGCATCACAACTATTTCACTAGGAGGGTGGTGAAGCACTGGAATGGGTTACCTAGGGAGGTGGTAGAATCTCCATCCTTAGAGGTTTTTTAAGGCCCGGCTTGACAAAGCCCTGGCTGGGATGATTTAGTTGGGGTTGGTCCTGCTTTGAGCAGGGGATGGACTAGATGACCTCCTGAGGTCTCTTCCAACCCTAATCTTCTATGATTCTATAATATCTTTATTGGACCAACTTCTGTTGGTGAAAGAGACAAGCTAGTTAGTTCAATAAAAGATATTGCCTCACCCACCTTGTCTTTCTCACATCCTTCTAATGTTATTTTACCCTTTGTATGAACAAAATGAACAAAACTTTTTTGCCTGAGAACATTTTAAAACACCAATCCTACAATATTCTTTCATGGAGAATAGGTCAATCAATGGTTATTAGCCAGGATGGGCAGGGATGGTGTCCCTAGCCTCTGTTTGCCAGAAGCGGGGAATTGGCGACAGGGGATGGATCACTTGATGATTACCTGTTCTGTTCATTCCCTCCAAAGCACCTGGCATTGGCCACTGTCGGAAGACAGGATACTGGGCTAGATAGACCTTTAGTCTCACCCAGTATGGCCATTCTTATGTTATGTTCCTATGCCCATATCACACTATGTTCCTTTGTATGTTTTAAAATTCTGTTTTTAAATTATAAATTTCAACCTGTTCATCTAGCACTGAAGAAAGGCTCACTGGTTTGCAATTCCCAGGATCTTCCTTAAACCCATCAAAAAAAGATAGGTCCAACATTTGATACCCTCCAGCCCTCTTGTATAATGGCTTATTTAAATGAGAATGTCTGTATTTTTTTTCCACAGTTCAGCTATTTTATTGTCAAGTTCAAAATCTTTGGCTATACTATGCTGGGTAAGTTGCTATGTGTTTTAACAATTTGTTTCAGCACCCATCTGAAGAGGAGTGCGCCTCATTTTTAAAGATCTGGAACAGCACTCAGGCAATTTTTCATTATAGCTTTCGTGACAGCAAAACGTGTGGAAAGACATTACAACTTTCATTCTAACCTTGCTTTCACTACCATCCTCCCTGAAAAAAGTGTCTACTTACTTTGAACATACGTGGTGCCACGTGAGAGTGTCTCCCAGACCACATCTGCTTAATAAGTTCTGCATAGGCTTCTGCAATTTCTCCTCTCATCCCCAGAGGATTGTCATGATTTATTTCAGCCTCATATCTATCTTCCAGGAAATACTCAGTCAGAGGTGGGGTGTTACTCAAACACTGAAATAAAAAACCAAACACATTTACAAAGCTCATGTCATTGTCTAGGACAGCAAATCCCTATGAGAAGGAAGTAATACAACAGTCCAACTTTCACATCAGTACACATGTGAAATGACAAAACCTTTTTAAAAACTCATGTGAAAGTAGACAGAACAAAGTATTTAAAAGGAACAATGAAAGTTTTGAGTCTACAGCTCTCTCACAATTTAGTAAAACAGAAAGCCTCTTATTGAGATACGTGAGCAATGCAACTCAGACAACAAAGGCCATATAAAAGAGTTCACAATATTCCGACTTCTCTTCCAAGGGTAAAAAGTGTAAATATCAGCACTTTGCTAAGGCTATTGCTGAAGTAGAGATGCCCCTTTAATGCACAGCTTCAGTTCATGTCACTTACAGTTTAATCAAGAGTTACCTTCTGATCTACAATTTCCCCACCTTGTCTCCAATCCCAGCACTAACACATAGCACTCGGCGTGCCTAACAGCAGTAGCGAAGCTAGCCTCTGCTTAGACAGCACACCTAGCTGTTTTCAGGAGTGTCTCTGTTAGAGGTTTTCCTGCCCACTGAACTCCCACAGCCTGAAATGAGGCTAAAAGATACTATATAATGGTAACTGTCCACAGTGGAATGGAGAATATGAAAAAGGGAGCACTCTATCCCATGTGACACCTTTCTCTCCACTCTATCTATTAGTATCTATAGCAATTTTCCTCATTTGTGCTGAGATTAAAGATGCATGGGTAGCCGACTCCTGTAACACAGTAGAACATTTCTAACCTACACTAACGGGGGAACTCTTGTGTAAAGCACCAGAGGTGGGAGCAATACAGTGATGCTGTGGTCCCCGCAAACCAACATGGCAGGGAGGGGTGTGTACCAACCTCTGGACCTGCCCCACTCAATGAATCTTAAGATTACCCATGTACAGTTGGTCTTCCCTCCTCCTAGCTGCTCCTCCTCCCTGGTGCTGAGATACTTTCTGCAACCCAGTGACTCTAGGAATCAGCATCGAGCAGGGTAGGGAGGCTTTTAGGAAGCTACTCTCCTGCTCTCCTCGACTCTGCCCTCTGCGTGTGCCTGTGCCATAGAGTTCAGGTACAGAGAGGGAATGCGACTGCTGAACATGGGGAAATCACGTGTACATTTTACCTGACAATGAGATAGAAATATTGTCAAAAAAAGAAAATTGACAGGGTTTAAAAACAAAAAATACCTTATCTTGAATCTCTGCCCCCGTCACCTCTTACCTGTAGACGCTCTTCAGGACAGCTAATGGTCTTCTAACAGGCCTATAAAGTGCTTAACACACTTTGGGGTGCTATATGAGAGCACTAGACAGGTGTGCAATGAATCCATGAGGATAAGGCGTGAAGTGGATTCTTTTCAGCCCTTTACCTGTAATGCAGAGTTCATGAAGCAGGTGTTTCCCAAGTTACTGAGCCCACAGATGCCGGGCTGTGACTGGGAAGGGGACTCCCTGCAGCTGTAGGAGAAGCCAGAGACTCTGGAAGAAGAAAACAACAATTTTGTATCTAGACCACACCAGTCCAGCAATGTTTACAATTTGCATCAAATGCTATTCCTTCTTACTGGTGCTTTTTCATATATTTCTGCTCCTCCATATTTGTTAGTTTTGACATCTCATTTAACTCTGATTACTGGCAGGTCTGATGTTTACTGTAACAATGTATCTTCTATATCTATTCAGGCTGCTTTTCTTTGACCATTTACCTCTAGTACTTTATGACAATATTTTCCTCAAGTGTATGGTGCCTACAATCCTTTATCACATTATACGGACATATGCAGGTAAACTACTACTTTGCAACAGTTGATGAAAGTTTTATGGTCTCTGCCTGGTGAAGTGGCTATCACAGCCAAAGAATGGGACACAAAACATCTGAAAGGGAGAATAGGTGTTGGAGTAAGTGCTAGTTTTCCATGCAGTTGGGCTAGAGTGGGGCAAGCATTACTTTCAACAGCTTGAAAATACAAGTAGCCAGGGGTAAAAGGGAGGACACAAAGGTAGTCAGAGGAAGGAGAGGGGGAAAGAAAAGCATTCCTGCTCTTACCCCCTGCCAAGGCTGGAGCTGGTCAGTCCAAAGGAGTTATTGCTATCACCATTTGCAATGGCAGAAGAGACAGACATTGAGGAATAAGAATTTATTGATGATGCTGAAGTAGCAGTAAAATTTCTGCTAGTTGCAGTGCTTGATCTGGGAGAAAGGAAAGAAGCAGAAACAACGCCACCAGTTTTTGCAAACCCCAGACTCTGGCACTCTGAAATAAAGGTCACTTCTGATTGAGAATTTACAATCTTAACCTGTTAGTATCTGCATTTCCAAAACACTAGTCTGGAACACGGGGTCAATCTAGGGCATCACAAGTGAGAGGCAGAAACAATAAACCAATCATGAGCAAGAAGAGGCCCTAGAAGGCATAAGCACAAGAAAGTTTGGACTGAGTGGGTAGAAGGCTCTAAACAGCCTGGTGCACTAAGAAATTAAACCCTCTAAAAATAATAAAACCTTTCCCCTAAATAAACAACAGACTACCAAAACAAAAGACCTCTCTTTAAAACCCACTCTAACTATGCAGGTAAGAAACCAACAGCAGACTAAGAAAGGCGGGCGCTACCTAACTTACTGGGCAAAGTACAGCATGTAAAACTACATGCTTCGTGGATAAGTGGTGTATGCAGGAACCCGGCACAAGCAGTTTGTAGCACTCAGAGCCCAGGTGCACCATCTTGAGGTCAGAGTGGGTGAACTGGAGGAGCAGAGAGACAGAACTGCTTATATGGGGTAGTCAACAGGCGGACCGTAAGCCAAATCTGGACCGCCAGATGCTTTTGAACGGACAGAGACATCCTTTTATTTACTTATGATTATCATTATTGTTCTTGTTTTTGTATTATTTTCTCGGAGTCTGGACCTTGACAAAAATTTGGACTTTGACAAAAAATAATTGATTACCAGGGTGGATAAAAATCAACGATTTAAAAAAAAAAATGATTTTTTTGTATTTAAATTAGGTTTTTTTCTTCAAAAAAATCCATCTAAAGATAGTTTTAGATAAGACACATTATAGCTCAAAGATATCTCATTATGGAATAGGGATTATAAATTCTAATTCTATAATATGAGACAATATATTCATGTAATGTTTAAGAAAAGTTTTGTAAATGAGTTCCGATAGTTCATGGATTAGGGACCCAATTTTATGGTGTTCCAGGGGCTTCTGTATAGATTATTTAGGTTAATCTTTCTATCTACCCAATGGGACTCAGTGCTCAGTCTAGACAATACCATCAGAGATGCTTAATTCTGCAGTTCTCAAACTGTGGATTTGTGTCTCAAGAGATAACATGCTTGTTAACAGCAAAAATGGTACGTGTCGCACCTCTTCCCGCAGCTCCCATTGGCTGGGAACGGTGAACCGCGGCCACAGGGAGCTGAGGGGCTCCATGCCTGCAGACACTCCAAGTAAACAAAACGTCCCGCCAGCGGCTTACCCTGACAGGCCGGGAACCAAAGTTTGCCAACCCATTTATTGATGTCAATACTGCAGCCTTTTAAGGTTGCAAAGGCTTTTAGTGGACTAGATTGGCTTGAAAGGAATACTAAAAGAGCAGTGCTGCAGATCTGCATGACATTCAGTGACAATAATAATTTGACAGTGATAAAGCAGGTGATATTCCTATATAAAGTCCTACAAAATCTATAACTACAATAATAATAATAATCTATTTTCATACTAGTATTTAAAATGAACAGTGAAATCAAAAGAAAAAGGTCTGCTTATCATGCAGCATTCAAACTTAAAGTTGTTGAACATGCAGAAGCAAACAATAAGTGCGCCGCTGCTCGTGAATTCTGTATCAACGAGAAGTAAGAGAATGGCGAAAAAACAAAACAACACTAAAAGAAATGCCAAGAAGCAAGAAAAAATGTCCAACGAGGTGCGCTTCATTTCCTGAGCTAGAGAAACATCTCAATAATTGGGTTGTTGAATGTCGACAAAATGGGTACATCGTCACTAGAACTGGAATTCATCTGCGTGGTCTGCAAATGTCGAAAGACGACAAATACAAGTCAGTAAAGCCGTCAATGTTTGTCACATCAGCAGGTTGGTGTACTCGCTTCATGAACCGTCATGGTCTCTCTCTTTGTCAGCAAACAAAGATAGTGCAAAAGCTGCCGAGAGATCTGGAAGAAAAAAATCGAATCTTTCCAAAGGTTTATTATAAAATATCAAAAGGAATGTGCATTTGAACTGTCACAAATAGGAAATATGGACGAAACACCAATGACATTAGATCTCCCGAGCAACAGAACGGTAACCGGTGTTGGTGAAAAAACAGTTTTAATTAAAACCACTGGCCATGAAAAAATGCATTTTATGGTGGTTTTATCGTGTTTGGCAAATTGATCAAAGCTCCCTCCCGTTGTTATTATTAAAAGAAAAACCTTGCTGGCGTCATCGTATGTGCACACGAAAAGGGATGGAAGGATGAAAGTGCAACTATTGAATGGCTGGAAAAAGTGTGGAATAAGAGACCAGGAGCACTTTTCAAGAGACCTGCTATGTTCGTTTGGGACATGTTCAGGTCACACAAGACGGATGAGGTTAAAAATGTGGCCAAAGATATGAAAACTACTTTGGCTGTAATACCTAGAGGCTTAACTTCAGTTCTACAACTGCTTGATGTCTGCCTGAACAAACCCTTTCAGGACAGGCTACGCAAAATGTGGTCTGAATGGATGTGCTCAGGCATGGCGAAGTTGACAAAAGGCGGGAATCTTATGAAGCCCGAAATCAATCTGGTCACCCAGTGGATCAAGGACGTGTGGGTGTCCATTCCCTCGGAAATGATAGAAAAATCATTTAGAATATGCTGTATCAGCAATGCACTCGACGGGTCACAAGATGATGCCATATTTTATGATGAGACAACAGAGGCTGATGATGAGAAGGAATCCGAGTCTGAAGATGACACTGCCGACATCTATGATGACAATGCAGGTGCAGCTGTGACTGAAGTCGAGTTTAATGAACTGTTTGGTGAATCAGAGACTGATTCAGACTTTGAAGGATTATAAGACTTTTTTTGCAGCAGCTGCTCTAAAAAAAGTGGGAGGAACCAAGCTAACTCTCCCACAAGACGTGCGATGGAACTCAGTAGTGGACTGTTTTGAGCTCTAGATCAAGAACTGGCCTAATCTGATGACAGTTTGTGAAAATCGTGAAAAAACAGATGGCACTGTCACAGCCAAAGTTCTCAACAGAAATGTTGAACACATGCTGAGTACCCTGAAGCCTATTTCTGTAGCCTTGAAGAAAATGCAGGGAAATAGCTGTTTCATTGCTGATGCTGTTGAAATTTGGAAGGAACTGAGTGAGATCTTAAAAAGAGAAATAGGCAATGACAGAGTTAAATTACAAGCACTAATAAAACAAATGGGACAAGCACTATCGCCAGCTCATTTTCTTGTAAATATTCTCAATACTCGGTACTAGGGTCAAACCCTAACTGCTGAAGAAGAGGAGCTGGCTATGACATGGACATCCAGTAATCATCCCTCCATAATGCCAACTATAATAAACTTCAGAGCTAAGGGTGAACCATTCAAGATATAGGTTTGCTGATGATGTTTTAAAGAAAGTCACACCAATGAACTGGTGGAAGTCACTTAAGCACTTGGATTCAGAGTCTGTTGAAGTGATAATCTCACTTTTAACAGCAGTAGCTTCTTCTGCCGGTGTAGAAAGAATATTTTCCTCCTTTGGACTAATTCACTGCAAACTGAGAAATCGTTTGGGACCTGAAAAAGCAGGAAAGCTTGCTTTTCTTTTCCAGATTATGAACAAACAGGAAAATGAAGGTGAAGATGACTGAGTTAGCCGCAGAAGCCAATATATTTTAAGTTTCTCATGTTGACCTGGCTGACATAGTCAATTTAATTTTTGTGTTTTTTTTTTTTTTTAATATTTCATTTAACTATTTTAGTTACAAACAATTTTAACAAAAACAAACCTGATTTTAAAAAACTTGAATGTTTAACTAAATTCAAAAATTCATATGCTTGTTTTGTTAAAATATTATGTTTGCTGTTGAAGAAAAAAAATCCAGAATACATAACGTCGTTGTTTTAGTTAAATAAAACAATTTAAATGTTTGTCTGGTGATTTTCTCCTCCTAAAGCATGGCAAGAAAATCCTCCAAATATTAATGATTAATCTGTTGAATTGGAGATAGTTCACCTCCCAATGACTTCATAAATATCTGCTTCAATTACCTTTGCTAAATGAAATAACCAATCATTCATTTTCTGATATAGCTGTAAAACTCATCTGAAAAGTTTTCAAAAAAAATCACTTTAAAAATGTATAAAATGAAATGAAACCTACATCTATCTCTGAGTTGTGAAGAATATGTATTAAGGTTATAACAACCAACAAGAATGCACTTTTATGTAGAAACCCATGATTAAATTGAGTCTTCCTGACTAGTGATTTAAATCAAATCCATCCTGTTGATTACCCTTAACATTTGTGAGCGCACACACCTCAGAACTGACTCCCTCAATCCACCAGCTGAGGAAGCCAGTCTCACGATGAAAGGGCACTTAAGAGGAATGGAGTACACTGTTAGATGAGACCCTTCTTCCAACCAGCGGAATTGAAGAATCCCTCACATGCTGAGAAGGTTGCTTCAGATGGAATTATAGTAAGGAGACTCAGGCAGGCTGGGGCAACAGGGGATTGAATTGTCAGGAATGTAGATGGTAGATCTGGGCAAAATTTTTTGGATGAATTACCAAAAAGTGTTTTGATTCTAAAACTTTAGTTTCAGCTATAACTAAATGTTTTTATTCAATTTTTTTTTTGACTTTTCGATTCACCAAAGAATTCTGAAAAACATTTTCAGTTGAATATGAAACTTTTTTATTTATTTTCAAAACTGCCAGCAAACCAAAAAAATCCCATTATTTGTCCAGCTCTAGCAAATAGACTGTGAGCCCGACAATATGACTTGCCTGCTTGGTGCAAAGATGGTAGATATTATGAGACACTGAGATGGACTTCCGGTGAGTGCTGAAGAGGAGCCTGTGGTTTATGGTATATGTTGGTATCAGTGATGTAAGGACATGTAAAAGAAAAGTCTTGGAAGTGAGATTTAGACTGCTAGATAGAAGACTTTGTCCCCAGGTCT